ATTAATATATAATAAATAGTCAATCAGTTTACAATCAAAATTCTTCGAATTTGAGGTTAAAAATCATCAGTAAAACTTTGTTCATGCAGAGCAATATTTTAGATTGATAATTAAATACATATTAAGATAACATAATACATAGATAATAGCAGATACATGTTTTATTTAAATTGCAAAAAAATTAATTGATTGTTGTTCTTTCTAAATTTATGTACATAAATTTAATTAAGCTTAATTCTGAAACAAATTTATTCTTAATTTTATACACTAAATCTCCCATAAATGCCTGGGCAAGAGCATTTTGCTAGCCACCCATTGCCTAGCTTCTGCTAGCCCATTGGCACTCTTTCACTCGACCTGAACAGTAGCCCGTAGACTGTTTGCCGAGTCTCCAATCTGTGATTTACGAGTGCGGCATGCAGAACTGGGTAACTGTTATACCAGTTTAAATATTTGGTAAAAGCGAATCGATGTGCTATATGCGACTTCTGAGCAGCGTGAGTTATAGACCAAAGATTTTGATTTACAGCCGTACATTGAACTCGGTGTCCAACGAGTGGGCCTGCACCTTCGTAGTCTGACCAGCGGGGTCTTTCTTGGTSTTCGTCTCCGCCTCCGCCTCCGCCTAACTACATTAATGTCAATTTAATGTTTCCTTAATGACTTCTTTCGTTGCAACTTGTTTGGCTCTTGTTGCTGTTGTTGTTGTTGTTGTTGTTTTAGTTCTTATCAGTTGCTGGTCAAACTTGTCGCATGGCTGGAAAGTGTTTATGCTAAATAGCTAACGAGTTTTCTCCACGAAAGTGAAGAGAGCCCAGCCGAATAGTTGGCAACGACTTTAAATTTAGAGAGCTACTGCTCAGCCACGATACGGTGCGATATGATATAGTATAAAGTATATATATGCGCTGGCTGACATGTGTCCGACTCAATGTGCCAGCTATTTATTTGGGTCGGCAATTAAGATTTATATCAGCGCCTTTGATGGGGCAATAAAAGCGCTAAGAAGATCCAGCAAACAAACGCAGCCTCTCACTCTCACTGGCCTTTCTCTCTCTCTCTCTCTCCCTCCCTCTCTCTCTCTCTCTCTAGCTAGCTCATTTATGCGGCTGGGTATTTGTCAAGAGCGTGCGCCGCCTTTAAAGAGTCATAAAAATCAGCCAAATGCGCGAGGTGTGAAAACACAAGACACCCAACGCGGAGCGCAGAGCTTAGGATATGCCCCGGCAGCTGCTGCACTTGACGAACTGCTTGCCAGCTCAAGCCGCAAACTAAATGTTTAATTTTTATAAACACTGTTTTCCCCCTCACTGGCATGCTCTCTCTCTCTCTCTCTCTCTCTCTCTCGCTCGCGCCGACTCCTGGCTCTGCCGACGCCACGGCGAGCCGCCAACCATTTGTTTGAATTTGTCTAAAGTGGCTGCCCCTTTTTCTTTTTGCTCCCCCTTTTTCCCACTCATAGCATTTTCATAATTTTCATTGCTGCTGCTGCTGCAAAAAAAAAAATAACGTTTGTCAAATTTTCCGTTTACTTTTAGCTGGCGCCCCTGTTCACAGCCCCTCCCCGCCCCCCATGGCTTTGTCTGCCCCTCATAGTTGTGTTTCCTTCTTCTTTTTAATTTCATATTTTTCTTTGTTGTTTCTTTTTGAGCGCTGTGTCTGCTGTCTGCCGTCTGCATCTGGCTGTCCGTCTGTGTCTGCAACAGTCGCTCTCTCCCTCTCTCTCGCGCTCGCTCTCGCTCTCTGCTCTTCAGTTGGAAATTACGTTTACTCAGGCGCCAGGCGCGCATATTTAAATACACACGTGTTTTATCGCTGCCATTAAATCATATTTTTATACTTTACCTTTTTGCTGTGCCACCTTCAATGACTCCAAGCAGCCCTCCACGCCCCCTTCTGCTCCCCGCCCAGCACGTTGGCATTTTGATTGTTTACATTTTGCACTTTCACGGCGTAAACAAACAAACGGCGTTAAAAATTGTGAAAAAGAAGAAAATATAAAAAATAGATACACGAGACAGAGCAGGAGTTGGAGGCAGGGGCGAAGGCGGAGGCGGAGGCAGAGACGGTGCCAACGTCCCGTTGGCGCATGGCCAGTGGAAGGGTATTGGGGCTCCTGCGAGTGGGCTTGGTCAGAGCTCATGGAAATGGCTCTTGTAGTGCCAGACGAAATGTCAAGTGGCCTCAAATACCTCGCGATATATGGAAAAACAATGGCAGCTCCTAGAGGAACGGGTTGGGAAATTATATTGATAATGGTTCTCCTGTTTACGTTAACAGTTAGTTTAATCATTTCTTAAGTAGTATCTGCTCAATAGATCATTTGAATCCAATCATAGGCAAATCATCGTTAGATCAATCTAATTCAATCTTTCTCTTCAATTCAATCCTCTGCCCTTTCATTAACATAAATTGGCGAAGCTCTCTTTTATTATTACTCTGCAAGATGGCAATCCATGGCAGATTGAACAAGTCTTGTCTTGCTTTGCTCATGCGCTCAGTAGCCTAGGTTAAAGATCAAAAGAACACTTTAATCGGCTACTGTTTAGGCTACACTTAGACTCAGCACCACCAAGCCACCTCCTCCACCGCAATAGCCGCAGCAACAACAAAGCTTAGTTTCAATTTACTCGAGTGGCCTGCACCACACGTGCGGCTGCTTAAGCGTTAATGCCTCATGCAACGCTCTGCTCCTGCTGTGCCCCTCTGCCCTCTCTTTGGGGCTTGGAGCCTGCTGGCGGAGCGTTGAACAATTTTTTAACATTTTTTAAACGTTTCTCCTCTCTGGTCTTCTGCATTTTCAGGTAAGATAAGATCTGATTTAACACAATACGGCGGCATATCAACAGACATGGGTAAGAAAATTTCCACATTTTTATTTCGTTTATATTTTAAATTTATTTCGCTGAGGAAACTGGTTAAGCTGTAGTCTAAAAAAAATCGTAGAGCTCCTATACTAATACCGCAAAGTAGCTAGAAATTAGCATAAGGTGTTGGTGCCACACTCTCCAGGAAGCCATCGGAGGGCGTCAAAGCTTGCAGAATTCCTCTTGGGCGTCAAATGTTAACTCAAATGCGCCAGCCCCAGTTCGTGTGGAAATGATTGATTCGTCGGCTTCATGCGGCCCCGGCGAGCTGATTAGACCAAATGCAGCCCGACAGCACGCAACGGCAGTGCAATTAATGTTAACATTAAACAGAGTCAAGTAGCAGCCACACGTTGCAGCCGCAGCCCCCTCAGCCAGTCCCCCCTTTTGGCCAGCGGCAACTTCTGTGGCCAGCAGCCATTGGAGGCGTGGCATCTGCAGTGGAACCTCTTGCGTTGCCAGCTTATCAATCAGCGCGTCGACGACTGCAAGCAGCTACTTCTTAAAATCCAATTACACGCACAGACTGCCCCACTGACAGACTGACAGACTGACAGACTGGCAGAATGCGCAACTGAAAGACTGAGAGAAGCTCGAGAGGCCCGACTGAATCAGCGCTTGTTTGCCGCTCCACTCAAATTACATGAATCGCCGGCACAAGGCATGCATCGAGGCTAAAAATTACGAAGACGCGCCACCCAGACTTGCCCTCGCCCTCTTCGCTCCCCCTTTGCCTACACCTCTGCTTATTATTGACTATATTCAATTGATTATCTCGTGCAAATCGGTAGCTAAATATTGGCGCAGACACAGCAAGTGGGCAGCCCGACGCTCGAGCGTGAGCGTTGGCATCCCCAGAGCATCCTCGCTGCGGTGGGCAGCTCCTTGGCCACTTGGCACTTGGTAACCGTCTAGAGCTCGATAAGATGCCAGATATAGATTGGAGCTGGCAAGCTGACTGCCACCGTGAAGAACTATCACTTTGGCCAAGTGAGTGGGTATTTATTACCAGAGGCTTGGCCCAGTGAAACGATCTGTTAATATCGATGTCGAATATTGTAATAAACTATATAGTAAATAATATTATTACGATAGTTTGCTGGAATCGGATAGAAACTTTAAATGAAAATAAAAGAATATATATTGGGGAATGGATTGAGAAAAGGCATAATATAAATTCAGCTGTATACAGATATTGATTTAATAATATTTGAATATGAATGTATTGTCTAATATTATGATCTAAACTTCATATACTGAAAAATGAAAACTTTAAATGGAAAATTCGAGAAACATAATTCAAGATTGTAGATTTGAGATTAAACATATGGAAGTGAAGTTCGATGATGAAAGATTGTAGAGCCTAGATTCATTAGAGAATGTGTCCAAGAATATTTCAAAACACAATGAAATCTATTCTACTTTCTTTGTCCTTTCTTTATTAATTATGTTCCCGAAATGATGAAATATTCAAGTGAACTGTAATCAAAATTAATCATATACTATATGAAACATTTCTATAGTACTAGAGGTCAGATATTTCAATGACATCTATTAACTTAGTTATCAATAATCAGATCAAAGTTCGTTATATTATTCATACTAAACAAATAAACAAACATTGAATTTGCTAGTATATTCCATTTGCCATGTCGCTCAACCCGTGCCCCGCCCATCCATTAAGCCTTCTGTCAGCTTAATCTACACTAGAATAATAAATATTAGAATTTATACATATAAATTTTTTTTTTTTTTTTTTTTTTTTTTACTGCACAGTTAAAATCTCATAATTTCGCTGTCACTTCTCACTCATTTCAACAGAGAGCTCGAGCCCCAACAGCTACAACACACTAGGCGCTGTGTAAGCGTGTGGGGGGGGGGGGCTTGCATTAAGTGGGCGTGGCTTACATTCGCAATGCTGCTGACATTGAACATGACATTTTCCCCCAAAGAGATAATTAAATTGCGGGCTTAATAGAATTAAATGCCGTGTTTGCATTTCAAAATCCAAAACGTGGCAAATGCCAATGGCCGTGCTACCCGTTGCACGACAGCGACGACGACGCGGTTGGCCTGGCAACAACAACAGCAACAACAACAATAGCAACACCAGCAGCAACAGCAGCAGGCAACAACAAAAGTACAAAAAATGTCAATTTGGACAAGTTTTGATAATTGCAGGCGCGGCCGCGTCCGAGCTCCAGAATCGCATACGAATTGTGGCAGCGGCTACTGTGCTGCATGTTGCACGTAGCACGCTGTCCAGACTGCGCTGCGCTGCTCTGTGCGCTGTGGTGTGGTGACCATGAGCGTGTGCGTGTGCGTGTGTGTTGCGGCTGCTCCATGTTGCATGTTGCAGTTAATAATTATTGAAATGTGCGGCCGCCAGGAATTGTGCTCGTGCTCCTTGTGCTTCCTGCGCGGCTTCCGTTGGCGGCAGCGTCAATGTTGCATGCATCGTTACCTTTAAGCACTGCTGCTGCTGTTGCTGCTGCTGCTGCCGTTGCTGCTGCTGCTGCTGAGCTAAAGACTAACAATGCTTGCATTTTCCCACCTTTTTCACATAACTTTTCAGTTGTTGTTTTTGTTTTTTTTTTTTTCGTACTGTTCGCTTTCGTTTTGGCTGGCTTAGTGCGTCTTTGGCTGTTTCACTGTTTCGCTGTTGCCACCGGCTGGGCAAACAAGTCGGCCACTTGGCCGGCAGCTCGTCGCTCGCCCCGCGCCCGGCCCGCGCCGTGTTAACCCTCTGGTTCGATGTCTCGGACTTGTTACCACTTTAAAAAGCGGGCCGGCCCCCGGCCGGACTGGCCCCTGTAATAAATTCATATTCAAATTGTTAATTGAATATTATTTGTTAAATTTGCAAGCATTAAATGTAAATGTCGGCTGGCTGGGCAAATGTGGCGGGGGCGTGACCGCGGGCCGTGCAAATTTCATTTTATCGTATAATTTCGTCATTCCTTTTGTTTACTCTGGCTGCTTAATATAATTTATGGAACATTCTTAAGCGGATTATGGATAGAATTGAAAGCGATTTCAATAGTTACGGTTGCTGGGCTTTGCTCTCGCTTTTAATACTGTGTCGATTGCCTGCCGCCCACTGAAATTTGGTCACTGTACCAACGACCTCCATAAAAATCTCGCCCAAAAATGAAAAAAAAAAAGGTAGAAGATAAACCTCGCTCAGAGTGGGAGAAACGAACAACGAGCTCTCGTAGCTGTAATTGTGTCCTGCATCCTGTTGTCTGTTGTCTGCTGGTTGTTGTTGGCTGTTGTCCTTGTCATGCGCTTTGCTAGCCGTTGCTGTGCAATTTCCATAATTCATATTCATAGACATAACAAGCGCCCAGACAACAACAAACGAACGAGGCTGCCGCGTCGCTAGCTGCACCTGCAATACGGACAAATGTCCGTCCAAACAGTCGCCAAAAAAAGTATCTGCAAAGTGTAAATGCGGCCAAAGTGCAAAAATTTCACATATGCTTTTGGGGCAAGCTGCAAAAAAGAAAAAAAAAAAAAACAAAAAACAAAAACAGAAAAGACCTGGCATGAATGGAGCATAAAAAGTTTGAGCAGACAATGAATAGAGGGAGACGGAGAGAGAGAGAGAGAAGGAGATATGAATACTTTATAGAGGAAGAGCAGGAGAGCGTCAAAGGTTTTTCAATCCATTGGATTACGTTTAATTTATGTCTTGTTATGCAGAGCAAAAGTGGCTCTAGGCAAATGTACAGCAAATCAACAGGCCCATCATTCTGGTCATCAACGTAAACATCAAAGCTGAGCGAAACTCAACCAAAGTATCTGATAGATACGCACGCACACTCAACCTGCAGCTACATTTGATTTCACACCTACACACACACACACTCACACACACACAGACTTCGAAATTATTAACTGGGGAGCATTTTGTAGTTCGGCAAGCGTAAGTGTTGTCCTGGACCCCGGACAGCAGACACTTCATAAAATGGCACACGGCACTTTCCGTTTTACCGTTGGCATCTGCAGCACGTGAATGGACATGCTCGAAAACATAGAAACATGAGCAGCAAATGCAGAGGGAATGAGAGAGAGAGAAAGAGAGAGAGAGAGAGAGAGAGTGGGTGGCAGATAAGGCGACAGACTGGACAACGACAGCTGAAGCTGACCACCGGGTTTCAATTAATGAATTAGTAATTTCGGCTTCATTGCTGTAATGAACACTTGGACCAAAGCCTGGCGGATAAATTGTTATTGTGTTAAACTTTGTTAATATTGTTATAAAGCAGGTGTATTATGCTCTGTGCGGAGAATCTGCCGTACAAGAGACTTTAGCTGTGTGGAGAGCCAAAAATAAGTAGGCCACTAAAGTGCTCTCAAGTTGATACTAACTCAAAAAATCAAACCTAAACATATTCTTAGAGGAATATTACGTTTTATTTATTAATTTTCTTTTTTTATAGGACAGATTTTATTTTTAGTAGCTTTACATTCTGTATATTTAAATAGCGACAATCGAAACTGAATTTACAGCATATATGTATATATATATAGCAGAAAATATGAGGAGTGTAATATCATATATGGGCACATATAAAGAATTCAGAAATTATATAGAAACAACATTCAACGATATCTCTCACTCACTCATAGATCTCACTTGCTTTATCTCAACTTCTATACTTGAACTTGTGAGAGTCGTGGAGGAAGGCAACAAGAAAATTTCGTTTCTTTTAGTAGTAGTCACAATGTTAAATGTACACATGCCTATATGAATTTAAAAATTCGTTTTTTAGCTTCAAATATTCTCATATATGAATTTGTTTTCCGTTTTGATATCCTATCTAGGTCTACTGTTTATCTGATTTACATCTAAGAAGTAATACACACATATATTCGCACACATATACACACTAATATTCCACATTAACATGAATATATTTTGTGTAAGCAAATGTCGCTCCAATGAACCAAAATTAACTTTTACTGTCAATTCAAATTCCCAG